TGGCGCTAAGAGTACCTTAAAAGAGTGACAGTTAAATCCCACTATTTGATTAGAGTATCCCAAGAATTGGTGATGGGTGTTTTTGACTTGCTGATTGTCCTTCTAGTTAGTCCTTCTAGTCTATCGTTTCAAAGTTAAAGACAGTTAGTAGCTTTGTGCGAATATCCAAAACAACCAACTCTAATTAACTAATTTTCTTTTTAATACCTTACGGTTGAAGGAAGTTTTCCATTTGAAAACATAAAACCAAAGTATATACAACGTATGAACACATTATTTCATGAGAGGCACTGACTTTGATACACAAAGTAGTACTGAAAACTACGACATAAAAGAAAAACAATTAATTTGATGTGAGTTTCAAGAATTTATGTTTTCTGGACTGAACTAGCAGAGTTTGTTTGTTGCTATTCTTCTAATAGTAACATCTAGTTTTGTCTATTATTTTCAGTACTTGATTCTTACACGATTATATATCTTATCTGACCATTCATCAAATTTTTCTGTGTCTTCCCCTTCCTTGTCCATATATATTATAATGCTGTCTACGTCACATTAAAAATTTTCTTTGGTGAGATTTCCTTATTCATTCGTTTTATTTCCTGTTATATGTCTACTTTATTGGTATTGGAATAGAACTAGAAATTTCAACCTGAACGGCACCTTATGCGCACTTGGGCTGATCGACAAGACCAGAGATCCCTAAGAATCAGGAATAATCGTCCCTAAATTTCTATTTTGTTGTTTTGCTTAACATTGACCAACAGTTCGATAATATTAGAAATAACCTATAATTAACTATTCCTGCCAAATCTGGTTAAAAAGAACCAGAAGAAGAGCAACAGAGGCAGGAGAAACGTGTCGCAGCATCTCATACTGAATGACAACTGCCTAACTTATGTACTTCCAGGCTGAAATAGAGTGATCTTACGTTCTACCAGCATAAATAGTCGATTATAATCATAGAGATTATTGGATCGAAAAGTGGATATTGATAGCCAAGGAAGTAGGGGAAGAGGTAGAAGTGCTGGAGTGGTGAGAAAAGCCACTCTCACCCCAAGAGTGTTGGCAATAATCTGTAAGTCTAAAACGTCATAGTCTTTGGAATGCAAGATCGACAAACAATTGGAGGTAAACTTCCTACTAACCTTTCGAATCTTGTCCCAATCGACCTTGGAAATGGTGGTGGAAGAGATACTGGAGGCGAGTTAACCCAAGAGTCCTTCTGGCTTTGGTGTCTGATCTGCTGGGCATAGGCATGAGATGGCTGAAAGGCCATGTGGTTGTGAAGAGTGGGATATTTGCAGAACATATCCCAGACTGATTCTTAGCTTTCTTTGTTCATTAGCAGCCATGGATCCAGCATGAACAAGAATAATATGGCAAACACATTGAGATTTTAGCTACTTGGACAATACAATCATTTACTGCCTCTACACAATCGTTAATAGTCTGGAGAGTAACGACATCAATATCAAGTTCCTAGAGAAGGGTGAAGGAGAGCCAGTCAGTCTGCTTAAACTTCCACTCTGACACGTGACTCAGGTGGCATTGACCATGGCTAACCTCCCGGAGAATGATGAGAAAATGACCACTGTGGGTCATTGTTTACTCTCCAAGAAAAGAAATGAACTAAAGAAAAGCGGAACTAATGAAGATATATGGTGGTAAAATACTGAGTTGGGTCATGAAAATATGTATATGATTCAGTATTGAAGAGAAAAACGTTGTGATCCAAGAGCATACATTCCATAGAAAGACCCCTCTCATCAATATCAACACCACCCCAGAGTGGATTGTAACCATTAAAGTGTTCCAAGATGAAAAAGAGGAATGTCAACTGTTCGATAAGATCATTAAGATCATAATCCCTCTTGATGACAGGTAAAGGGAACAAATTGCGATAGTATTTCCAATGGAAACACAGAAGGCAACAGTCTCCAATGGTGTGTTGAATGGCACAGACATGGTGGGTGTATGCTGGTCAACCAACAGCATGTCATCTCTATGAACCAATCCATCACTCAACCTGTCTTTCCAGTATAAGGAAAACTGCTTAAAGATAACAACATTGACAGGTCTCAGGAACAACTCCTGTAAGGATGACAAAAAAGGCATTTTTACTTAGAAGGAGCAGAAGAAGTAGGCGGAGAGCCTTTTTGTGTTCGATTACGACCACGTCATTTCTGTTTATTAGAAAGAGGTTGATCGACCTCTATTGATCCTGACCTGGGCCGATGGGGAGGTCCTCATCAGACAAGTATGATTTTATTGATTGAATACGTGTCTGATTGATGGTCTAGCATCTCAGGACCGATGGAGAAGGACATGAGCATTCACTGGTTTTAGTAGTAGGGATGACAATTGGAGTAGACATAGACTTGTCAACTCGTGTATCCATGAAGGGCAGAAGATCCTTAAGATGGTGAGAGAAATACTGTATGGCAGTGGAATAGAGTGCAGCAGCATATGTCCAAGCTGGAAGAGAATGCATCAACTTTCAGGCCTCAAGATAAGAAACATTGTTAATATTATTCAACCTCTGTACCTCTTTCTCCTCTATCCATTTATGGTATAGCTGATAGTAGGAGGGGTGGAAAACATTACAGTTAATGCAATGTGGATTTAGTTGACACGCATAAATATCGTGGTCTTTTCCACCACAATGAGCACACATCAAAGTATCGTGACAAAAGTTTTTGGTGTCTGAACTGTTGGCATTAAACACAGCAAAGAGAGTTAAGAATATAAGGCCTCACCTTGAAATTCAGATAACGTGCCTTGACAGTGGCAGGTAGACATGGTGATGTATACGTCAAAATAAGAATGTTGATAGGCCACATGATTTCACCTTTTTAAATTGAGATACGCCGAAGAGCCAAAATACCTTGGCTGGATAGCCCAGTGAGAACCTCTAACTTGGGGAAGTTAAACAAATTATTCTCAACAATCAGTCCTCTTGGGTAGCATGAGGAGTAATCTAAATAGGTATATCATCAACAGACTTTGAATTCAAGAGGAGCTCACTATCTTGTGTTCAGGACGATTTCATCAAGATGTATCCTGATCGTAACTTCTTAACCAACTTAGTAGAGCCGACAAGCCCCTCTAATCCATTCGGGATGAAAAAAGGCATATATCCTAGAATATTGTTTGATAACGAATGGAGGATGAGAAAACGGAGTACAGGAATGTCAGAAATTGGCAACTATGAGACTTCTATATATGGTCGTTTTTCTAGATTTCTTTATTTCATTCTAGGATAAGGCATTGCATTACCTGTAGTGTTGCCTACAAATTCCTATTTTGTAAATCTCTAATTTGCTGGATTTGACACTTAAATATATCTATATATGTGGTTGTTTAATGTCAATGTTTTTATTATTTCTGTAACACAGCCACATAAAATGTATGGCAGGGGGGGGGGGGTTCGTATTGTTATTAGCTTTGCAACAACGTCTAACTAACCTGGTAGATTTTTAGATGAAAAATCATTTATATCACAGCTATGTGATTCAAACCGTTTATCATCTGGGATGCTTGAAGGTTATGGAATCCTCCTTCACCCCGCACCAGGGATATGTGATTTAGACACAACAGTGGGTGACTTTTTTACGAAGTTGTAGCTGATGTGCGCGATAGTGAGAGACTGACAGAGGTCAAGAGGTAATGTCCGGAAGAGGAGTGAAGTCAGCGAAGCAAAGGCCTGCCAGGTCCATCGACGAGAAGGAGAAAATTCGACAAAGACAAAATACTCTAACAAACGGTCTTTGACAGAGCCGAGCAGGGATCTGTAAACCCAAGTGCCATGGCTGTGATCTGTACGTCCAGTGCCATACATTTAGATGTCGGGGGGATAACCTCGAGAAAACCCACTTTCACTATGATTAAATATGGACCTGGAATCAAGCACGTGAACAACTTTATCGTGACTGTATGGTGTCAACTTTGAAAGGTTGCTGCGAAGGAATAATTATGTGAGCTACATTCTGCACTGGGCTAGAGACCTAACTGTGAAGTGTTCACGGATAACGACAGTTCTTAGAATAACACGTTTCAGGGGTCAGGGAAGGATGTTTTGATCAGCAGGTAATGTGTTGTTATGGCCGGATAATTGATTCTGTACAAAGAATGAATAGCCTAACCTTGGTTTTGAAACATTAATAGGAACGTTTTGTATTGTTTAGTAGATATCCCAAATCTCAACTCTATAGAAATTGTTGAGGACATCCGAAGAGGTTAATTCGAAAAGTCAAATCACGACCTCCTAGTTTTCATCGGCATTTGCATCGACAATGAAGAGAAATGGCTTCAGCTAACTGAGAGCATGGGTCACAAGTTAGCACTCTATCACTGAATGTCCAGATATATTTGGTATAGCACTGTACATTTTTTTTGTCACGGTGATGTACTTGCTACAGTTTCTCCAACTGTTCAGAAAGTAACTCAATAAGTTAAGTGAAAATAATTTTTAACGTTTTTGGTAAAAAAATTTTCATAAATTTTCATTTCTCTAAAGCATTTAATATTTCCAAGATAATAAAGTATATCACAAAATCACTTTCAAGACATAACTGTAAATGTTTTTATCACTCAGTATAAATAAACCTCAATAAGGTTTCCATTTTTTACATAACAAATGTAACCGCTAGACACTGTCCTAAAATTTATCAAAATTACAACGAAAAATATAGTTTTAAATTATGATGAAAATATTGAAAGTAAAAAAAAAAAGAGTTGCTTTATTCCGTACTTAGTAAATATTAATTCAAAACTTTTATATTGTTCTTAACATTGACTGATAAACACGAATTGTAAAAATAATAACCAAGTTTATGAAGAACAATGTGTTTGTTATTTTAGAAAATATGAAAAACTCTGAAAATGGAAAATAAGAAATAAAATAGACATTTACTAAGAAAATATCACTAGCCCTCATTTGCAACTCTTAACATTGTAGTAAAGACTGTTTAGATTGTGAAATATACATATTCACTTACCCAGTTTTAGCAAAGTTGGCCCAGTACCTCATAGTTCTTTTAGCTAGGATCTTTTCTTGCTCATTATAATTCTTTCTTGGGTTCAACGGCTCCCCGAAAACGAAAGGAATTTCATCTCCATGCATAACGCCCATCCATTCAGGCCACGGATTAACAGAAGATCGATGCGTAAAATAGTACATGTATACTTCATTTCCAGTTTCGGCGTAGCGATAGGCGAATTCATTCACACTGCAGGTAAAATGGTAATCACCAACTATCTTATCAATTGCGTCTCTATTTTTTATAGGATCATCAGGGTCCAGCCAATCGGTGTATTGGAAGATTATAGCCTCTTGGCCAACTTCACCAATGTATGGATTAAGTTCTTTTACTGAGTTTATAAAGTCTTTTCGTGTCAGATACACATTTTCTTCCTTCTTGAAAAGATCTGTTAAGTAGTAGACGATCCAAAAAGTTCCCTCTTCTGTGTTGCTTCCCATAAGGATGTTAGTTTTCTTAAAGTTTTTCATTTCTAGAGACTTTGAAGGATGTTCGTCAATGAATGCGCCGTCTACGACTGGCACAAAGGGGAAGTCTACAATGCCTAAACTTCCAGACTCATTGTTAACTAACGTCATCGGATCAATCTTTCGAAGACACTTTATAACGAGGTCCATATCATTTGGATCATGAGGGCATTTTACTGCTTCTGCAAGCCGCAAACCACGCGTGATTAGCTCTTTATGGTCAAGAACAGCCCAGGGTGAGGTTGCAGAGCCACTCTGCATGATGGCCTGACTGAATAAATTTCTGCTTAAAGAGGACAATAAGTGAAGCCCAACACTAACGCCACCTGCACTTTCACCAAACAAAGTGACATTTTGTGGATTACCGCCAAAATTAGCAATGTTGTCCCGAACCCATTCCAAAGCCATTAATTGGTCGTATAAGCCTGCGTTACCTGGAGAATCTGGACGACCGAAAAACAAGAACCCAAGTGATGCTACACGGTAATTCATGGAAACAATGATTATATTTTCTTCGGATGCAAATATCTTGGCGTCATAAACATCCAATGTTGTAGTCCCACTGTAGAACCCACCACCAAAAATCCACACCAAAACTGCGGCATTTTTCGGTCGAGGTCGAGGAACCCAAATATTCAACTTTAAGCAATCCTCACTCAAGGCAGTGTTAGGATTCCACATTTTAGAACCTGCAAAGTTTCCGAAAAACGTATCACTGATTTGAAAGCAACTGTTTGGCTTTTCTGTAGCATTAAAGATACCAGTCCAAGGATCTGATGGCTTTGGATGGCGAAATCTGTATTCACCTATAGGAGGCTTAGCGTACGGAATCCCCCAGTAAATATCTACTAATTTATCAGTAGCTGATCGAGAAGTTACTCCCCTCACTAATCCTTTGGTAGTCCGAATGACGAGGGGGTCGTCGGTATAATCAGGTAGTGATAAACTGCGCCCTAGACAGAGGGCGCCACAAGTGGCTAACATCAACGCTACTCCTCGGTACATTGTTTTAAGATCTTCTTGAGAAGCCATGTGTATTCTACGATGTGTTGTTGTCATCTCTATTCTGGACACAATGGACAAGAGTTAGATCCTGAAACAGTAAAATGGAGAAAACATTTATATTTTTGGGATACTATCAAAAGGACAAATGTATAACACAAGTTTTATGTGCGAATAGATAAGTTTGCATAACACAACGTTTATATTCCGTTTATAAAAGTTATTACTGTGTATTTTTAGAAATATATGGTGACAAAAGGAAATATTTTACATTAAAGAGCGTAAAAATAATATTGCTTATATAATTTAAAATGAAAATAATGAACTCCATGTACGATAAGAATAACTCTGAATTACTACAAAAGCAACTTTTCTTTGAGAATGTAGATAATAGTTGAACATGAAAAATTGCTGAGAAAAATCGTATTAACATTTAAATATGTTTCCACTTAGTTACATGTAACTACCAGCCGGTAAGTTGGTGTGTTATTCATATACTTTATACTTCTATTGATGTAAGACATATGAAATAGGTAGGTCATAATGAAAACAATGTGATTTGTTAACAGATTTTCACAAATTTCTAGTGAGGAAAACTTCAACTATTTTTAACTTTGGTTGATTTCTATTAAAACCTATTTTCCTCAACAAGGATTTTTTTCTAAATTTGCAACTTCTTTTAGCATTAATTGATGATAGTGCAGAAATAACTACTCCAATGAAGCCACTATAGTAGTCAATTCATATTTTAGAGTCATTACATCCTACTATCATTGCTGCCTCCCCATTAGTCTATCACTTCAAAATTAGTGACGGCTAGCGCAGATATCCCCCGAGTATTTGTGCGCTCAACAAATAAACACGGATCTCTGAACTTAACTATGAATGTTTTTGTGAACGTCCTTTTGTTAACGTATCATGTCTGTTTGAACCATTTACAATGTCTTATATATTTGCTAAAAATAATAATTTAACAATCGTGGAAAAGTAGAGATTTCGTTATAAATATAGTCTTTGTATTATGGTGAGGTAGTCAGTCCATCTTACGAGGTACATTAACTCAAGAGCTAATCTGTCGTGCTATGCCCTATTAAAAGAAATGGAAAAATAATTTGATGTATCATTGTTGGATTGAGTGTGGCCGAGTGGTTGGCATAGTCGCAAAAACGCGCTCCGGTTTTTAGGACAGTGGGTACAAGATAAAATTGACAGCCAAATTGCAGACAGTAGTAAACCAAAAGTTGGTAGTAGGTGCTATCGACAAACTGCCATCCATCTTATTTACAAGTTCAATATAGTCCTTTGTGTAGCTTTGCACGAAAATTCTGAAACAAACAAAGAAAGTATCATCGGTGCCTGAAACACTTTTTTGCATAAAAGTAATCGGCGATGAGGAAAATACGATAGAAATATAATTAACAAATAAACTACTTTTTTAAAACCACCCTCACAATTTAGGTAGATTATTAAAACAAATGTGTTGTACTCATTGTCTATCAAAATACCTCCCAGATTAAATAGATCAATCTGGAATCGTCTTCCAGCTGATTAACATATCACAATGCATGATTTCACTTTTGACGAATGTCATGCATACATTTTTGATGCTGTTTTAAGTGTACTTGATGCAGTATGTGTTAACAAGATACCGTATGTTTTCATAGCAGTTTCTAAAAATTACCTGATTTTAAGAGATAACATGTATAAAGATTTGTTAACATATTCTAAACAAATTTTACCTCCGAACAAACAACATGTTTTGCTGGTTTAATACATGTTGCTGAAGGTAAAGATTTAAAATGAACATTGACAGTCATATGACATAACTGAGATGAACATTATACATACATATATATATTACAGATTTATTTTCTTTTTCACCTAAAGCAAAATATAAAAATATAAAACATCATGTTTGACGTAGAGGACTAATACATTCTTTGATTGGCGTACCTTCTGCTGTGGACTGCAGTTTTGCCTATTCAAGGTTCATAAGCACAGTTTTGGCCAGCAAACCAAAGAAATACAGTTAGGCCGCTTATAATGGTGATGCTTATATAGGACTTTTACCATTGTAATTCTTCAGACTTACAAGCCCCCCAGTGGCACAGCAGTATGTATGCGGACTTAGTGTTACAAACCGAGTTTCGATACCCGTTGTGGGGAACGCACAGTAAGTCCAGTGTGTAGCTTTGTGCTTAACTACAAATAGACCTGCCGCTGAGCGAGTTTGTTAGATCTAATTAATCATATTTTGAAAATAAAATATATATTTTGAGGTGCAAAACTAAATTTTTCGACTATGATAATACACATGGACCACAGAAGAAATAGCAATAAACATTGTAGTTTACTCTTCTAATTGCTTTCCTTCTTTATTTAATCGCTTCTTCGGCTTCATTTTCTTTAAATGCATAAGATATCCAATATTCTATCTATATTCCCATAAATAATTTTTCAATGTACTATATTCTCCAGTTTTTTTACCATCATTCCTTTAACAAAATTTTGCCTAAGATTAGAAAAAAAAATTGTTGTTAGGTTTGTTTGTTTGTAATTAAGCACAAAGCTACACCATGGGCCATCTGTGCTCTGCCCACCATGGGTATCGAAACCCGGATTCTAGCGTTGTAAGTCCGCAGACATCTCGCTGTGCCACTGGGGGGCTTTAGCGTTCTAAGTCCGCAGACATACCGCTGTGCTACTGGGGGGGGGGGGCTTTTTGTTCGGATACAAGTGTTTATTGTGCTTTCTAAGGTCTCAATTTGAGAGCTTTGTTCACAAAACAATTCTTAAACTTGTGTACTTGTAATAAGTTATTAGTTTCGGGTTATATTTCTTAATACCTTTCGTTTCAAGTGTTTTGAGATATGTAGAGAAATGCCTGTATAATCTTTACGTGATATTACCTAGAGAAAAATGGAGAAAAAACACTTCACTGAAACTTCTAAATTCATGATAGCTTTAGTATTTGACTGACTGTTTTTAAACTCTATAAAATTATCTGCATACATAACTAGTGACAAAAGACTTTAATCAAATAGTCTCACACTTATCTCCAGCAAACACGATGCTTACACATTCAATTTACAGAATATGAATGTGACATCGTACGATGGGTTAATAACAGTAAAGAATGAAATGGAATTTACAAAACCTATTTGGACTGAAACACCATTCATTTTAGAACGCAAGAATGAAAAAATCTTAAAGAACTATGTAACAAACACTTAGATTATTCCTTATCTTCCTACGATACATTCTTTCCTATTTTCAAGTTCTAAATAAAGAAATTCGGTTACTGAAAATAATCTAATAATGTTCGAGTGTATCCTGTCGTTTATCAAATAGAGAAAAAAAAACATCTGCACTCTCTTGTTAGAGAAGAATTAGTTGGGAATATGGAAAAGTCCGACATTCTGTTTAAGCATCAAATATTTACAGGTTAATCCGATATACAATACACGTGGGCTCGGCTCTCGTTCTTATCAGAATAGAATGAGTCATAAACTTTTAAGGCTACCTTTCCTCTTGACGTTTTCCTTCTTGTACAAAGAACAAGATTTTATTACACTTGATCTAAGATTTACGATGAGGATAGGTTTGTACTAGATGATGTTTTAATTTAGTTTGGAGCCAATGGTGAACACTAAGTGCAGTGAAAATAACTTTACGTCCTTCAATAAGACGAGACTGATAAGCTTCAAATTAGGTAGAGAACGAAAACACGAACAAGTTAATGCTTTCCTCTGTAGTCAAATCAACTTCAAAGAAATACATTCCTCGAGAAGGCAAAATAGAAATCGCAAGGTAAGTCGGAGTTGTAATAAAAATAATCCACTGTAAGCCTAATATTAATACGAATTAATAATATCTATTGAAAATGTTCACGACCTTCTATATTGTTCGATTGCACAACGTAAGTTTAATAGATTAGTTATTTAACTTTTGTAACGGGCGTAGCGAAGTAGTTAGTGTGCACGGACTGTGAATCAGCACTAAGGGACCGAGGGTGCATTATAAGAGTGACTATCAAATTCCAGTATTTGGTCATACATTTAATCTTGCCTAAACCTTCTTTTTTGAATTATAACAGAAATTATTTTATTAACGATAATTTCGGTATTGTTTAAAATAGCAAAAGTATTTATTCGAAAATCAACACTCATGTCACTAAAATTACTGAATTTTCAGACATGAGAGTGTAAATGTTGTATTCTTTTGTGTATAATGTTTCTCTTCTAAATGCTTATACGAACGTTTATAAATGACAAGAAACGGATTAAATGATTAAAAGGGACCTTTCTGCATGCTTTTATTTAAATTCTTAAAATGTTTATTATTGTAACAGACAAAATCATGAACCTGCATATCCCCACACATCAGGTACTACATAAACATTGAACGCTTAGAGCGCTTGAACAGATAAAATCATGTGCGTGCATATCACCGCACATCAGGTGCTACATAAACATTGAACGCTTAGAGCACTTGAACATATAAAGTCATGAACCTGCATATCCCCACACATCAGGTACTACATAAACATTGAACGCTTAGAGCGCTTGAACAGATAAAAATCATGTGCGTGCATATCACCGCACATCAGGTGCTACATAAACATTGAACGCTTAGAGCGCTTGAACATATGAAATCATGTACCTGCATATCACCACACATCAGGTGCTACATAAACATTGAACGCTTAGAGCGCTTGAACAGATAAAATCATGTACCTGCATATCACCGCACATCAGGTGCAACATAAACATTGAATTCTTAGAGCGCTTGAACATATGAAATCATGTACCTGCATATCACCACACATCAGGTGCTACATAAACATTGAACGCTTAGAGCGCTTGAACAGATAAAATCATGTGCTTGCATATTACATTAACTGAGAAATTTGCATTATTGGTGACAGGAGTTTCAAAATGTTATATTTTCAACAACGAAGCGGTTTATCTGAATAAAACTAGTTATATCTTGCATCCTATGTTCTAGGAAGGACAGACTTGCCTGCCGTGCATTTTTTTAGGTCGCTTTAAAAAACGTAATGAAATTTTCACCGTAAGTTCTGAGTTCTCT